ATTTTCTCCCGGTGATCCCGCCAACAACACACTTCCTGTCCTCAGGTGACAACACTCATTGTACTGAATCTATGGAGGAGCAGTGATGTCCTAGGACGGGACTACAGAACACCTCCCTCTCTCCATGACATGGGGGGAGGCGTTTTGTAATCCCGAGGCAGCTGGGAACAATGTGACAGTTAGGAGCGCAGCACAGGAAGTCATCCGCTCCCTGGATTTCTGGCGGGATCAACGGTTATTTTTTGCACAGACAGAAGGTTGGAGATCATTTTGGGGTTCAGACACTTTAAATGCCAAAAACATGAAACTTCCCACTCCCGCCCCCTCCCCCCCGGACACACAATATGGCGGCCTGGCGGTACTCACTATGCGGCGGAGTCGTTGAGCTGGTATTCCCGGGAGCGCTGGAAGCAGACCTGGACGCCTGGATCCGCCCACAGCCTGCGAATCACTCCGGCCAGATCATCCGGCAAGATCCCCTGCTCCTCCGCCGTGCACGCCAACGCAAACAGCTGCCGCGCGTCATCCTGAGGAGACAGAAGGAGAGACGGTGAGGAGGGCGGAAGACACGGCTGCTGCAGGAACATACAACATCGGCTACACGCGTGATCAGAATCACCAACCGGCCCGCCCAACACGGCTACCAGTCGGCTAAAGTGGATGCTCTGCCTGGTTTTATCTGTTGTGTGTCAGCGCTGGGGAGAATTTCCCCACTTCCTGTCCTGATGAAAGTGGGGGAGAATTTCCCCACTTCCTGTCCTGATGAGCGGGGGAGAATTTCCCCACTTCCTGTCCTGATGAGCGGGGGAGAATTTCCCCACTTCCTGTCCTGATGAGCGGGGGAGAATTTCCCCACTTCCTGTCCTGATGAGCGGGGGAGAATTTCCCCACTTCCTGTCCTGATGAGCGGGGGAGAATTTCCCCACTTCCTGCTGTCCTGGTGACGGAAACTTCCCCACTTCCTGTCCTGGTGACGGGGGGGGGGAGGGGAAACTTCACCACTTCCTGTCCTGGTGATGGGGGAACTTCCCCACTTCCTGTCCTGGTGAGCGGGGGAGAATTTCCCCACTTCCTGCTGTCCTGGTGACGGAAACTTCCCCAGTTCCTGTCCTGGTGACGGGGGGGACTTCACCACTTCCTGTCCTGGTGATGGGGGAACTTCTCCACTTCCTGTCCTGGTGAGCAGGGGAGAATTTCCCCACTTCCTGTCCTGGTGAGCAGGGGAGAACTTCCCCACTTCCTGTCCTGGTGGTGGGGGAACTTCTCCACTTCCTGTCCTGGTGAGCAGGGGAGAATTTCCCCACTTCCTGTCCTGGTGAGCAGGGGAGAACTTCCCCACTTCCTGTCCTGGTGAGCAGGGGAGAACTTCCCCACTTCCTGTCCTGGTGAGCAGGGGAGAATTTCCCCACTTCCTGTCCTGGTGAGCGGGGGAGAATTTCCCCACTTCCTGTCCTGGTGACGGAAACTTCCCCACTTCCTGTCCTAGTGACGGGGGGGGAGGAGGGGGAGAAACTTCACCACTTCCTGTCCTGGTGATGGGGGAACTTCTCCACTTCCTGTCCTGGTGAGCAGGGGAGAATTTCCCCACTTCCTGTCCTGGAGAGCAGGGGAGAACTTCCCCACTTCCTGTCCTGGAGAGCAGGGGAGAATTTCCCCACTTCCTGTCCTGGTGAGCAGGGGAGAACTTCCCCACTTCCTGTCCTGGTGAGCAGGGGAGAACACTTCCTGTCCTGGTGACGAGGGGAACTTCTCCACTTCCTGTTCTGGTAACGGAGGCGGGGAAGGAAACTTCCCCACTTCCTGTCCTGGTAACGGGGGGGGGGACTTCCCCACTTCCGGTCCTGGGGTAGATTTTCCCTCTTCACACACTCAATCCATTTAATAGATTATGTGGGGGGAGGGATCCGGATATCAATCAAATAATGGATCGGGCGGCACCTCCCCGACAACTCCGCCGCCGGACTGCGCTGCACGGAGACGCGGCTTTCTGAACGCACGCCCGCTGATCTCCGTCATTCCGGGAAGATACTTTGTTACAATAACAGAACTCTTCTGAACCGATGCCGGGACGGAATATCGCAGGTCAGCGGCAGTAAGGACAGAAACTATGGCGCGCCGGTTGGAATTACGATGCGTCCGCGATCCTGGAAGGCGCACCGGGAAGGGTTAACGGCGCTGCTGGCAGAGAAGAGCTCAGAGAGAGACGCGGCGTTCCCTGCGGGGGAGGAGTTTAATGAGGAGCCGGCTTAACGAGGGCAACTGACTCCCAGGATCCGCGCGTAATTAGATTATCCATCCCCCGATGACTGCCTCCCCACCTGCTAATTATCTGCATGAGACGCACGGAGCTCAGAGCGCGCCTGTCAGGTGACGGCGAGAAACCCCGCGCCCACCTGCGTGCAAAGATCCGAGAACGCCGGGAACCGACGGCGACTTTTCCTGAGACCGTTTCTTGTCACGCGATGAGATAAAATAAAGATCTTTATCCATCAACAGTCCGTCTGCCTGCAGCTCCGGCCGGGTCACATGACTGCCACGCCCCCCCCCGGGGGC